TTATCTTTTCTGAGCATTTCTTGAATTAAGAAAATAGTTAGGATAGGGTATAGCTGTCGTAAGTTACGCCAAAATTTCTTAGCATAAGAATTTTAGTGAAACTCAAATTTTCGATTTTTTCTTACGCAAGACAAACTAAAGATAATTTTGGATTTAAGAAGTTTAGCGGAAAGGGCCCAGATAAAGAAAACTGTGCCCTGTATCATGACTACAAGCCAAATTTTTCTAAGTCAAGGGCAATAACTCCAAAACCGTTCATCCGATTATGACCAAATTCCAACTTGACCTAGATCTCATCAATTTATACATGCATACCAAGTTTCATAAAGATCGGATAAAAACTGATAGTCTATATCGTGCCTACAGCCCAAATTTGACGTGTTTTTACTAAGTCAAGGGCAATAACCCTGTTCATAGTCAAATAAAAACAATCAGTACATAACAGATACTATACTTCTCGCCGATTGGGCGATTTATTTTTTCTAATTTCAGATCAGAACAGAAGAAAACCCAGTATCAAGACCCTTAACCCCAATTTCTAAATTAGTATCTGTTCCACATCACAGTAAAAAATAATGAGTTAGTTAACACCTTTTTGAGTGGAAACTAAGTTGCCACCCTACACCATGTTTAGTGTTGCATTGTTATACGATGTTGGTGCAAGTTTCCACTATATCCTGGATACCCTTACACTAATACGGGTGTGTTAATTGTTAACTCGAAGAGGTGTAAACTCTGAATACACTTGGTTAGATGTTCCTCTTTACACGGTTGTTGGTGTAGTTCATGAGTGTATACACCCGATGTGCTTATTTTACACACACTCAGTGTAATCTTATACACTTCTTAACGTGTAAAATATGTGAATTAATACCAATTTCGGTGCTTATTGTACGCTTTATCCAAACTTATACACTTAAAACAGTGTTAATGTTTACACTTGGGTAGATATAGTAAGCACTAATATCGGTGTTATTGAATACTTCATTTAAACAAATAAGATTTCAATAGTATAAGATGTAAGGTGTGGATGTGACCAATTTAAGGACTGGGTAACACCTAGCTCAAACGATCTAATAAGTAAACTTAGTAATGGGTCAACTAACACACAAACATTTTTCATATAAATGTAGCTAGTTTTAATCATGACATGTTTTAAACACAATCTAATATCCATTTCATCTTCAATAGAAAAACGAAAACAAATAATAATATAATTCTTTCAGAAAACTGTTTTTATCAATATAGTCAAATCAATAACAATGTAGAAGTTTTTTGATGAATGAAAATCACCAATGCTAGCAATGTAAGGAGATGGAGTTGCTAGTCTATCAAGTATTTTGACTCATGAATCAGTTTCCTGAAATATAAAAAGACAGAATAAGGACATTGTTGTTTTTACATTTTCTTTAATTGATAAGTTTCAATAATTCAATCTTGGCTTGACTTAACAGAGATTTAACAACTATGATCTGGCTCCTCTCAGTAACATTTGGATTGTATTTGCACACTAAATTAGGTTAGTTTCAACGCTTTTGATACATAACTTGTCAGCAAGAAAAATAAGTACATTGGCAGCTTTGATTCAAATTAGAAATATAAATAAAAATTAAACTTGTTCAGAATTGTTCTCTATAAGCAATGTTTGACAGATGGAAAGGCCACCAGCTGATATCTATGCTCTACATTACAATTTACCAATATACATAAGCATGCTCGGTTACCAAAGCAAGTTTTGGACAGACATGTCTACTTGTCAGTCTTTTAACATAAAATTTAAATCATCAAAATAGGTAAATAAGAAATGAAATATCTATTCATCAATGGACTTACCTGGTGTCATATCCATTTAACAGAATCCCTGTTTAATCCAATTAAAATCCATAAAACTAAGTAGCTATCCATTAACCAACTGATACAAAAACCTTAATATTTCCTGAATTGAAAGAGAACACATGCATCTGATTATTTAAATCAATCATATATGAATTTTTATTACTTTAAATTGCAAAAAATTACACTTCAGTTCCCTCCAGGATAGAAATTTCCTTGTGAAATTTCGTTTGAACTGAGAAACAGACACCTGTATTTTAACATGATGATTCGGCCAATTTGGGCTAATAGAGTAACGAAAAGGTTTTTTTCTTTGAATATTTTCTCTATTTTCAAAACAATACTGTTTGACTTAGATAAGAATGTCTTTAGAAATTTCAATTTGTTAAAATTGACATAATGTGAGCTCATGTTCACTTTTTATAAAAGCAAAGACTAACAGGACCAATTTGAGGCTGTCATTCCAATTCACATTAAAAAAACACGTTTCACTTTGCTCAGACAATAGAATTTTGAATAAGTTTATCGAACCAGCATCAAATCGATTGAGCCTACCGATTAAGAGAAAATTCAAAATCATGGTCATATTACCTACTAGTTAGTCTTCCATCATGTCCACTATATTCTTGATGGGCTAGAGTCTCGAGCTGTACATCTATCTTGCGCCATTTTTTCTGGGACTGGAATGTACTCGGCCGAACTTGATTGGGAAAATCACGGCCTCTTAGACCACGTGACATACGACTGATGAAATACGGTGCTGTTCGCTATTTAATCCTAATGGGAAAATTCCCACTTCTTAATCCAACTGTAATTAATAAAATGGCGAAATATTCATTTTAATGTCGACATAACACACATTCAGATGTCAACATGTAATCAAATGCTTAAGTTCGTGGTCGAAGGGGGACAATTTTTGATGACACTATTTGAGGTGTTTTAAGTTAACACTTAAATAAGCGTAACATAACACAATATCTAGTGTTTTTAAGAATACGTAATAAATCTTGAAGGTGTAACCCAAAGATTACCCCCATTAGAGTGTGAACGAGGTGTAAACACTTAATATAGTGTATTCGTGCACTAAATCAAGTGCTATCGGGGTGTTTTTAACTTACACCTCATAGGTGTATTTCAAAATCATTCAATTACACCTTAAAGGAGTATGAATAAGAATACACCATTAATATTGTTAACTTTACACCGTTTTGGGTGCATAATTACACCTAGTTTTTACAGTATAGGCCTGTACAGAGAGAATCAAACCCTCCCTTCCCCGAAATCTAAAACCGTTCATCCGATTATGACAAATTTCGATCTTGACTGAGGTCTTATCAATATCTACAAGCATACTAAGTTTTATCAAGATCGGATGAAAGTTGTAGCCTTTATCATTCATACAAACACAATTTAACGTATTTTTACTTAGTCAAGGGCAATAACTCTGAAACTTTTCATCCGATTATTACCAATTTCTAACTTGACCAAGATCAATATATACATGCATACTAAGTTTCATCAAGATCGGATAAAAGCTGTAGCCTTTATCGTGCATACAAGCCACATTTAACGCGTTTTTACTAAGTCAAGAGTCATAACTCTGAAACCGTTCATCCGATTGTTAGCAATTTCGAACTTGACCGAGATCTCATCAATATATACATGCATACTAAGTTTCATCAAGATCAGATAAAAGCTGTAGCCTCTATCGTGCATAGAAGAAATGTGAACAGACCGACGGACAGACGGAAGGACGGACGGACGGACAGGGGCGACGGCAATATACGTCCACATTTCCATGTGGGCGTATAAAAACAGTATTGCATGTGCAACGATTATACCATAACATGAAAACTGTGCTATAACTATTTTAGCTTTTTACCAAGAACATCTGCGACTGCAACGCTGGTAGTTATTTCATTCTGATTATCTGTAGTTCCTTTTAATGTTTTTTCAGTTGAAGATATTTCTACAGATGTTCCAGTTGGAGCAATATCTGAGATTTTAGAGGTTGTTGTACTTGTGATTGTCACTGTACTTGAAGTTGGTACGGTACTGGTCATTGGCATTGTAGTAGTTGTTACTGGAATTGAAGTTATCAATGAACTTGTCATAGTGATTGGAATTGTAGTTGTTACTGGACTTGTTGTTGTTGATGGACTTGTAGTTATTACTTCACTTGTACTTAGTACTTCATTTGTACTTAGTACTGTTCTTGTAGTTGTTGATGGACTTGTAGTTATTACTTCACTTGTACTTAGTACTGTATTTGTAGTTGTTACTGGACTTGCAGTTATTACCTTACTAGTAGTTGGTACTGTACTTGTAGTTGGTACTGCACTTGTAGCTGTTACCGGGCATGTCTGTATACTTTTGTTAGTGGTTGTTACTGTACTTGTAGTTGTTACTGGATTTGTGGTCGTTACTTGACTTGTACTGGTGGTTGTACCCCGGGGACAGAGTTCTGGTGTTGAAACATTTGGATTGTGACAAGTTATATTAATATGACCTACAAAGTGATCAATAAATATGTTAAAAATATTCATACAATTAAGACATTATTCTATTTTTCATGCTCCAGGTTTTCTCAAATTTTCTGAATATCTGGGACACTGACGGCATCAATTTGCACCATTCCAATTTTCAATCAGACGTTTGTGGTTCCTGTAATTCCACAAAGGAAGTGTTTCAAATCTGTCATTAATCGCAAACTATGGTTTATCACACGTCTCTTCGCAACTATAGTGAAACACCTAGTCAAAAACATACTTCCAATGATATAAGATTTTAAGTATTTCTGAATTCCAAAAAAAAAAGAAACACAACCCATGGCTGACTCTGCACAGACAGTGGAATATAATGAGAAACTGCTTTACCTGGGTAAGAATTAATTTTAATTCCAAATTCTAGACCATTATTTACAGAACAATTGTTTTCTTCTACTTTTATCTTTATCTCCATTGATCTACAAATGGTGTGGAAAATATCTGGAGACATTATGTTATCAAAATAACTTATAGTAGATCCATTGGAAACAGACAACTTGTATTGATGACCTTCAAAACTTGAAACATTGAGTATAACTTTATTTGTATTTCCAGTTTCTGATATTATTTGACACCAGCAATTGGTAGAAGAATTCTTGTTATTTCTGTTTAGGAAAACAGAGTCCATTGTCAGTGTCTTGTTTTCACAGATGTCAACTAAAACGATAAGATTATAACAATTACTTCATGATAATATTCAGCAAAGAAACAAAATCAGACCTTCCTTCCAACCAGGTTTCTATGTATGCTTGATAAAGATTCCGGTATGGGAATTGAAACTTTGGGACATTCCGTTTTTTTGTAAAAAGTTTTCATAATGAAAAGCGTTCTAAATTATATATAAATAAATATGCTAATTTTATCTATGAATCTTCTTGATCAAACTGAATTTGTTTTAAAAGGGTTAAACAAAAACGAGTACTAATTGTTATTTAAGCAGTTTGAACTAGTTTTGGAGTTATATTTCGTTGAAACCTTTCGAATACGTAGGAGACTACAATTAGGCGTTTATTGTACTCAATTCCATACAGTAGTTTTCTAACAACTTCCAAAAGCATAACGAACTTAAAACCTTACGTAATGTTTTTACATACATTTTTTCAGTTAAACTTTCAGATACGTTAATGGGCACATTTCTCTAGATCTTGGTGTTTAGTCATTTAAAGATTATACTATTGAATAGTTTAATTCCATAATCAGAGAAAATAACTTAACAAGCAAATTTAGTATCATCCATAATTATGGAATTTGAATCAATAAACTGTAAAGACGGCCAAATTCAAAAGGAATTCAAAGGCATGATTTATCTTGCCCTGTTCCTCCTTGTGACATTTATTTTATTGAGGGACAGATGCGCCATTTTGGGGGTTGATTTTAATCTTGAATATATGTATATAGTGTTCAGAATGTTACAAAATCATATAATTCCTCTAAAAATACTTCAAACTAGGAATTTAACTCACTATTTCTATATATGTATTTTCTATATATCACAGACTATTTTAACATTCAATCGCAGATAATTCTGGACACACATGTGGATTTGAAGGCTCAAATTTCGATGGTGAGCTTTGAACACTAGAACTGATTGGCTTATCTAAAAAATTCCCCTTTCTGAGACTTAAGTATGTTTAGTGAATAAAAAAGAC